TTTTTTTTTTTTTTTTTTTTTTTTTTTTTTTTTTTTAACTCGTCTCGCAGTCTTTTCTCTCACTTTGGATATTAACCAATTCGAGGTCAGGATTTTAGGATAAATTCCAAGGGACTTGACCATCATTTGGTTTTTTACTTTGGTTTGTATTATCGCTACAAATATATTCTTTTAATTTAATAATTTAATCTCTTCGATACATTCGCTTGCCGCGTACATTAAATACTAAAGCCGACGTTCGTGCGTGTTTATTCGATGATCGTATCAAAGAGGTTAATTTCTATTTATTGATATTGATCGATAATAATATATCGAACGTAATTCGATGTTATAAGGCAAAGGGTGAATTTTAATCTATTAAATATAGGTGTCATCATTTGTACTTAATATAATTTTGTACTTTCTTATTTAACGGATTTTGTAATGTAAAACTGAATTAGAATGTAATAATATATATCTTTAAATTATAAAATACCAATGTAAATAATAATAGAAAAGAATTTTTCATTTTATTATCTTTGCGTGTTATTTATTTTATTTTAAAATCAATTTGCTTTACATTGGCAATAAACATTTTTGTTCAAATAAAAAAATATACGAAAAATAAGATCCAGTATTCCAGATTATTTTATTTTATTCAGCAAAGTATTTTTATATTTTATAAAGTTTTTGTATCATCCTGCGAAATACTGTGTACTCACTGACCTCGAATGTGTTAAGTATATACTCTTACTCTTTATCCTTAGTCGCTTTTTAAGGCGAAATCTCGTTTCTTAAATCCTCGTAAGGCGTAGAGGAGAGACAAGTAAATAAGTAGATAGTAAATAACGTGATGGAAAGAGCGTCTTAGTGGCCTTAAGCGACTGACATTTTTAGGAAAGGAAAAAGAAAAAAATTTTTTTTTTAGAAACGCAATAGAAAATTTGTATTATTTCTGGACTAAATTTCTTCAAAATCAAAAATTGCTCGAGATTCAAGATATTCTCTACGATCAAATATTTTCTCTCGACTAGATATTCTATTTAAATTCCCTACAAATTCGATTATTCTTTCGCGAGTAAATCGTAAAATTCGACGATTTAAAGCTATTAAAGACTTTGTAAGTTAATTCGAATGGAATGTTTGGTTGCAATGCAATCGAATGCGAAATTGGAACGCAATTTTAAAGAATGAAAATCGAAGAGCGACAAATTGTATATCCTCCCATTAATTATCGTTTTTGGTTAATTGATTACAATCTGATAAAAAAAAAAAAAAAAGAAAAAAAAGACAATTTGTACAATTGTTTTCGTATACACAGATACGATAAAAATCGAACTTATTAATTCATATTGTGTTCGATAAATCGAGAAAATGAATAAATGGAAAAAAGAAAAGAAAAGAAAAATCTGATGAAACAGATGACATATTTCATTCGTATTTACAAAAATGGAAATGTTACGCAAGATTGAGAAAAATACTTCGAAGAATAAAAGTAGAAAAAGATAAAACGTGTCAAACGCAGAGAGAGAGAGAGAGAAAGAGAGAGAGATGATGATGAAATAAAATTACCAAGATATTATACGAGATAAAAAAAAGTTGTTATTAAATTTAGAACCACGTTAAAAACTCCATTATTCGATTATATAAAACCCGATAAGAACGAAACTCGGGTAAAGAAATTTTTAATTAAAAATTGCGAAGCAGAAACGATCTTTTTTCTCCTTCCACATCAAATCACTTATAAATTTGCATACGTAACAATGACTGATATCAGAGCATCGATACTCGGGACACTTTCTTTCTTAACTTTCTTAAACGTTAAAGGACATATTTCATCTCGAATGAATCGAGCTAAAATTAAATCGGGGACCCCGAAAAAAGGGCCCTTTAGTCCCGAAAATCGGGTCCGTTTCCTCTTAAGAATTTACATTTTAAACAGTAATGAATATGTTGGCGTCGAAGAGACCTTCGTATCATTTCTTACGAATCTATTAAATCAAATTCTCAGATATAGATTATGATTAACCAGATGAATTTAATCCATTGATATTTCACTGATATTCTACCGAAGAGAAATCGTCAGTCATTACGATTATCTTGTACGTCATACATTCCCTCCATTCAGAATCCGCCATTTTCCGCGATAATCTTCCTTAAAATTGTCTACCTCGAGAATTAACCTTCGAATTAATTATATCTTGGTCCTTGAGTGCATGATTTTTTTTTTTTTTTTTATATATATTTTTCAAGTCGATTCAACTTCCTTTTTCAACGACCCCTCTTCTCCTCCCTCTCCAATACTTTCCAATATTTCATTCCACATATTTTCTCGCCTAAAAGGCGACTTCCTTTGCACGCGGTAAATCCACGAACGATCCTGGAATATCCTCGATATTATTTCCACGCGATATATCGAGAATTCGGAAAAATTTCTTCCAGCTCGACCGATTCTTCTATCGCGCTTACTTTAACACTCTTAACGAGGATTAAATCGAGGTTTTGATCGAGAACTTTTACGAACTTTCTCTAAAGTTTTTTTCTCTCTCGAGATAAAGAGAGATGAAGGAGAGGAAAAAAGAAAGAAAAAAGAAAGAAATCGTCATTTCTAACCGGAAGCTTTAATGGACGAAAAGTTTTCCCATTTCACTCGCAATCTTATCGCGAATTTCGAATATCGTCACGGAAGATTTCACTCTTAAGGTGGGTTTACACTTGTTCGTATTTCGCATCATACCGAGTGATCTCGATTGCATTCGAGAGTAATGAGAATAGAAATGACTCTACAAATTAATTTAACGTGTTATTAATTTAAAAAAGAATCAAATTTCTTAATTTTTAATACATTCGATGTGTTATTTCGTTCTTCAAATTTTTCAATAAGATGAGAGTATCATTTACTTACCCATATATATAAAACCCACAAATTCAATGAAATTCTTTCTTTCGTTGCTTCAAGTAAGCAAATTTTACCCATCTCTCAATTGTTTACTTTCTCTTTTGTTCGACTTTCCCCTCTTCGATATTTTTCATCTCCTCGCGTTGATACTGAACAAGCATAAACTCATCTTTAAACTTTGTAAAGCGTTAAAAAAAAAAAGAAATACACGCGTATCATCGTTATTTCCACGATTCTGAACTGAAACTATCGAAATCTCGATCGAGCTCTCCTCATAATCAACAATGCCAATGTAATTCGTCGAGGAAATTGATTTTCTACTGGGTGTCCAAGGAGGAAGTGTCCAACTTTTCCTAACGTAACAAGCACAAAAGGAACTTGTTGTCCTTGACGAGAGAGACTCGATATCGTTTCTATCGGATTTCCTCGCAGGAAATTGGTCGAGTTCGATCCTCGAATAGAATAATGAATAAAACACGGAGAAACTATTGCGACAATACGAAACTTTCGAACAGATAAAAAGGCTTGGATCGAAATTAACACAGACGAAATGTTCGACAACTCGGATTTACACTTTCGTCGAGATGATCTCGATCGTAAATTGCTCACTTCATGGCGGATTTTGATTCCGCCATCTAGGATCTCTCGAAATAAATGTGAACCGTGTCGATTTATCGATCATCGGTATCAATCGATGACGATATTCAAATTTTGAAAAATTGTTCGATCAACGATTTTTTACATTTGTTTTACATTGATTTTAAATGAAATGTAACGATTGCAAAGAAACTTTGGTCCCATTTCAATCAAAATTTTCTCCTGCGAACAATTAAAGCCAACTTCCTCCTCGTCTTTGCGAAGGATTGCCTTCTTAATTGGAAACTCGTATGGAAAGTTAAATTAAACGCGAAATTCTCGGATAAAGGTTACGTTTTAAACGGCTATTACTGTTGAGAGATCTCGACGATATCTCGATAAGTTCAAAAAAAAAAATTATCGACCTATATTACCGATAATCGATAATCACGTTCCAAAGAAAACCGATCAATCAGACGATTCCATCTTTTTTTCTTTTTCTTCAAAATACCTCGTCATCATCTCCACAATCATCATGACGATCCTTTCCCCTCTCAATACGTACGAGATCCTCGCGATCCTTTAATTAAACATTCGAGCCAGATCAGGCTATAACTATACCCCTCCCTCCAGAGTGTCTAGATCCTGGACACGTAGAGCGACCGATGAATCTGCTGAGGGTTTCCATTCTGCTTCGAGTAACGAGGATTCTGCAACAATTCCCTGGTCTCGCTGGGCGAGCCGGGACTCAAGCTGTTGGTTGTCGAGGTTTCCACGCGATCGCTGATGATCTCCTCCTCGGTTATCTGTTCGAGGTAAAGGGACGACTGGACGGCCTGGTGATCGCCGTTCATCGCAGGAGGGGAGTAAGCAGGCGGTGGGCTCCTGGGTGGGGAGTCGGGGTTCTTCTCGTTGTGCGTCTCGATCGAGTCTATCTGCTGCTCTTGCTGCTGTTGCAGCATTTGCTTCGCCCTCTTCGCTTGTTTCGTGGTCAAACCGCCTGTCTCCGCGTCTCTTTCCAACCTGTGCCCGGACTTGGACCTGGTCAACTGCCTCTGCACGTACTCCTCCAAGTCGTTCTCCTCTCTTTTGGCGATCACTTTATTCAACACGATCAGGAATATGCCGAACACGATGGCGAACAGGCCTATTGCGACCAACTCGTTCCACCAACCGCCCGACGCTTTCGTGCCCCAACGTGCGAGGTCGCCCGGCAGGAGACCGCTCATTAAGAGGAAAGCGCCGAAAACGAGGAAAACGACGCCTATGTGAAGCATCCCCACCGACGTGACTACCTTCGAGTCCAACATACCCTGGCCGGCCGAGCGACTCGAGTGGCCGGCCTTGTGGTGCCTCGGCTGATGATCCAAGGAACCGGTAGATGCCCTCGGCGACGTGAGACCGCTCTCGCCCGATTGCGCGCTATAGCGCCGCTCGCGGGCACGACGCTGCTCGTCCCGTCGCTTTCTCTGACGCTTGATGGCCAGCGCCGAGTGCAATCCAACCGCGTGCATCCTGCAACACCGGAAACACAACCCTTGCTCAGTCGATCTTTCATAACTCGTT